CAACCAGCCTGCTGGAGGACTCCCTATGGACATGGAGAGGCTCCTGTGGCCGAGGGGGATGGTGTAATATAGTTCACATTAAGTAACAGCTCTCCTCAGCTTTCCTCAGTTCCCTTAGGAAAGGGGCAGCAAATGTGCCAGATCACTCTAAAATAACTCTTAATGTGAAATGAGGCTAGAAAACAAGTTTAATTTACAAAAGGTGGAAAGGAGCTCTTAAATCAATCTAGAGACAAACAGGCTGGAAACACAATAAATGGCTCAATAAATACCTGGTACTTCATTGCAATTTCAGGCTTTTGTTTGTTTTTTTCAGTTAGCGGAGTTGAACACTGAAGCACACAGACACAAATCATTTTGGATGCCACAGCTGTCTGATTCTTAAACAAGTCACATTCTCCCAGTGTTGTCTTTCCAGGTAGTCATTATTGGTGCATGGAGGATATGTAGGGGTAGTACCACTGTTCTGTTATAGTATTCTCTTGGTGTGGGTCCAATAGGCCAGAAGGTCTAATGGTTTATTCAATATAAAGAATGTGATCCTGTGAATAAAGAACTTGCTCCTATCATTTGAACAGGAGGTAGAAGAGGGGGCTGCTCATTTTCTTCTGAGTTCCTTCACTTTTGAGAAGTATAGAAGCATTTCTGAAAGCTCTTAATCAGCTCTGTGAATCCCCAGAAACATTTCAGCTAGCAAGCTATGCCAGTCTGCTGATCAGAACCCAGGTAAAGGGGAGGATAATACATTTGCGGTTTGTATTTAATAGAAATTAAAACCTCAGAAACGCCCCACTGCAAACAGTGCCACTCTGTGCAAATAGTGCTGCCAAGCTTTTCATCAGACTCTGGTGGGCTCAGCAGTGGCTTCATTGGGATGTTGCCTTTCAGAAGCTCTGTGGTTGCAGGGAGCCATTGGTGGGGTTCCAGAGCTGGTGCTGCAGGCTGGGCACCACCTGCTTTCCTTGCTCTGTCACACACAGGCTCTGTGCAGTGCAAGGGTGGTGTTGTGCAGGAGGCTGTGCTGAGCCACAGGGTGGGACCCTAAGGACCCTCACTGTGCTCTCTGGTCATTAGCTTTGGTGTCTCACAGATGGCCCATCATCCCTGCTCAATAGACAAAGGTGTTTTCTTCCATCAAGGGGTGCCAGTGGTCACTTCTGCAGGTGGCTGCTTAGTCCAGCTTGTGCAAGGCTGTCTTGGCCAGCCATGCTTAGGGAGAACAGTGTGCAGTCTTCTGCCTGTTTTGTCTCTTAGAAGCAGCCAAAATAGATTTTGACACATATTGCTAACTGCAGCAATCAAATCAACTAGATGATAAAAGCAACAGCAACAACTACCAGCTTCAGTCTTTTATTTCCTGCAAAAGTTAGAGAGATGAAATATTTGATCTTTGAGGGGTTATTGATGTGTGACTGTTTGCCCATTCTTGTTTTCCCTTCCCTCTGCATATCCTTTTAACTAACTTTTGGGAATAATTTTCCATTCCCCTTTATTTTCTTTGCTAAATGCATTGCAGTTTAAGATCTTCAGATGTTGTCAGGGAAACTGAATTTTGAACCTGGCTTGCCAAACAAATCAAGGACCAATTATTTTTGAAGTATTCTGTGAACTTGAATCAAAGATGATCACATACTTTTTAAGGGAGTATTGCTGGCACATTTTTGTACAATTACTCAGCATTTCCAATGGTAAATTCCAGTATTGTAACTTCTGCTTTTCAACACGATGTTTTCTTTAGGTGCTTTACTTGGGAAGTCCCAGGAAACCTGACCCAGCTGTTTACAAGCAGAGAGAGCAAAAAATGTTTTAGACATCTTCAACTAAGTCTTGAAGCTGCTTCCTCTCTTTGTAGAGCAGGCACTGTTGTGCAGCAAGGTGAAATTTGCCAGGGAAGGAACACTGGTAGTAGGGGTTTGCAGGCAGGAGAAGGGCATTTTTCTCTCCTGGAATTTAGACCTGCATTTGGGCTACCACCTTTCCCAGGTGAAGTTGCAGCTGTATATAGTTTTTCACTTCTGCTGCTCATTGGAAGGGAATGTGGGCAAGCATGAGCCTCTGCTGGTGCTGGGCTACTGGTGTGTGCAGAGAAGGGCATTGTGTGGGTAGCCCTGAGCCCTCTCCTTCATTCTCTGCTGTGTGTGAGCACACAGCTTCTGTCTGCCCAGAGTGGTGACAAGCCACAATGTCTTACCTTTCAGGGAAACTCAAATGCAGTGGATGCAGGAGGGCTCTGTTGGGGTGGGCATGCTAAACTGCTGCTGAAGCTGGCTGCAGCCTGTGTGATGTCTCAGGGTTGTTCCCAAGACTCTTCTGGAATGTGCAACTCCCCCTGAGGTCAGTGGGTATTTTCAGTTTGTGGCCAGGCACCTGCACATTGCCATTCTGGCTGCACAATGTTGTCCAGAAGTAGCAGGTTGTTTCCAGTTTGTAATGTTGCTATCTATAGATCTTTCAACTCCTCTAACATTAAAAAGGAGTTTTAAATCAGTTTTACCTTTCACTTCATATATCTGCCTTAGGAAAAGGGTCTTAACACACCCTAAGACATAATTTTAAATAAAAACATGCACTGTTTGCTCAAGAATCTTCTTGTACTTTATGTCATTTATGTTACCTCCACAAACAATTATTTTTCATCAAGGCATTTTCTGTCAATGAAAATCATTATGCACTCAGAACTTCAATCAGTGAGTGGAGCCATTAAATTCTATAGGTATTAGATTTTTAGTATTAAGTAATGAGAAATGGTTCTGTAAAAGTGGGAATGAGGGCAAAAAATATGCATGCACAGACTGTCAATAACTTATGTGTTGGTGTAAGGCAGCACTTTCCTACTGCATTGATACAAGCTGTGGTACAGCTTTCGCTGTCCTGATTACAGGATGCACACAAACCCTGACTGACTCACCAACACCCTGGAAAATCTGAACAAAAGTGATGTGACACAACTTGTACTCTAGTCCTTCTCACACTTCTTGAAAAGCTGATGGAAGATCTTATTATACTACCCTCTCCCAAACCAGAAAATATATCTGAGAATGACAGATCAAAATATTTTTAAAACCCCCAACGTTTTTATTTATATTTGCAACCCAAGACTTTGTTACCAAAATGGTTTCTTTGTTTTGTTTTGTTTTTTCTCATATCTTTTCAAGATGTAACATTAGCTCTATATAAGTTCATAAAGTAACATATTTCAAATGCTGGAGCTCCAACTTAATAGTAAATTTGCCATTTTTGTTTAAAGTGGCTATACTGATGCATTGCCAAACTTCTCTATAGAAGAAAAAAAAAAAAAAAAAAGAAAGCAAATAAAAACTCAGTAAGGATAGTATCCCAGGGTGTATCCTAAGAGGCATAACCAGGAAATCAAGGGAGGTGATTCCTTCTGCTCTGCCCTTGTTAAACCCCATCTGGAGTATTGTGTCCAAATGTGCTCCCTTGCACTAACAGAACAATGACCTGTGGAAGCTAGTCCAGAGGAGGGTCATGAAGATGATCCAAAGGCTGGAACCCCTCTCCTGTGAAGACAGGCTGGGAGAGCTAGGGTTTTTCAGAAGGAGAAGGCTCTGGGGAGACCTCAGAGCACCTTCCAGTGCCCAAAGAGGGTTACAGGAAAGCCAGAGAGGGACTTTTTGCAGGGACGTTTAGTGATAGGTGAAGTGGAAATGCCCTTAAACTGAAATAGGATAGATTTATATTGGATATTGTGAAGAAACTTTTTACTATAAAGGTGGTGATACACTGACACCCTTCATCCAGAGAAGTTGTGGAATCTCTATCCCTGGAGGTGTTCAAGACCAGGCCAGATGGGGATCTGAGAAACCTGGTCTAGTGGAACATTCCCTGCCTACAGCAGGGAGTTGGAACTAGATGATCTTTAATGTCCCTTCCAACCCAGGTTCTGTCTTCCAACCCTGATCCTGTCAAAGGGCCTGACTCGCTTAATTTGGAAGAAACATTGTCTTCATACAAATACAAGCAATTTTCACCTGTCTGATACCCTGATAATACACTGCAGTTGCTGGTGGAGAGAAACACTGCTCCACAGTGCTGAGGACCCCATGAGATCTTTCTCTTGTTTGGAGCAAAAGCGATCCATTAGATGTTTTTAGGAACAAGGGCAGCAGTGTAGCACCCATGCAGAGGCCTGATGATGGACAATTAATCCTCAAGTGTGGTAAGTGCTAAGTCTCTCTAGCCATACTTCTCAGGGCTTTTTGAGGAAGACAGATATTTAAATGAAGACTTTGATATACAATCAAGCTGTCAAAGGACAAGTTACCATGGTAAATTCTCTATGGTAACTATCTTCCTGTGCTTTTCAGATACCAGGCACTCTTCAAGAGACGAAAACCAAATTAATTTGCACCTTAATTGAGAAGTAAGTAACTTCCAATTAATTAGATCACATTTGCCATGAGGTACACGGGGCGCATTGCCTGGGAGATAAAGAGGAGAGCCGCAGCCGGCGCGTCCCTCTGCCCTTCCTCCGCCGCACCCGGGCCGTGGGACAGGCTCTGGCGGCAGGTGCCAGCCCCAGGGGAGCCCAGGCCCGCAGCACCCCTCTGCCAGGGCCTGAAGGCTCCCGGTGAGTTCCCCAGCAGCGAGCCGTGCTGCGGGCCAGGCCGTGCTGCGGGCCAGGCCGTGCTGCGGAACTGGCCGTGCTGCGGAACTGGCCGTGCTGCGGGACTGACCGTGCTGCGGGCCAGGCCGTGCTGCGGAACTGGCCGTGCTGCGGGACAGGCCGTGCTGCGGCCGTGCGAGAGCTGTGTGCGAGAGCTCGGCTCCGGTTCTGGCTCCGGCTCCGGTTCTGGCTGCGGTTCCAGCTCCGGCAGCCGCTGCTCCACGGCCGGCGGGAGTCAGCCGGAGGGAAGGGACCGGGAGCTCCTTTGAGATCATCACCCGCTTAAAAAGTCATGGGGTTTTATGTGTTGTTTTGTTTTTAGGTTTGGTTGTGGATTGGGGTTTTTTTTGTTTTTGTTTTTTGTTTTTTTTTTTTTTTTTGGTTGGTTTGGGTTTTTTGAGTACTCAGTAAACAAGACCTTTTTTTATTCCTGTCAGAGAGGAGCTTCTGGCGCTCCTGGGGTCGGTGTGCTTCTGTCCCGTCCCCAGACTCCTGCTGACACCTGCTGGCCTCCCACTGGCAGGAGGCTCAGGATGTGGGGGACTGGGTGGAAAAGAGGGACAGCCCTCTTCTCGTTGCTGCTGCCTTCTAGGCTCTGAGCTGAACTTTAGAGGAGATTTATATATTTATAACAAATATTTATTGGGCTGAGCCCACATTATTCCATGACCATAATGAGAATATCTCTCCTCTGCACCTGGGAGGACTGTAAATATGATCCTTAGTTGCATCAGTATTTCTTCTAGGCTCTTCTGAAAATGGGACAGGCCAAGCTGGTGACAATGGAGCAGAGATCCACTTCACACCAACTGAGGGGGCTGGCTTGCCACAGGATGAGGCATCCCACAACCCACTCAAGGAGACAAGAGTTTCAGTGAGCAGAAGCTGTACAGTGTAAATTAACTCATCGTAAGTTCCAAAGTGAAACACCAGTGCTGGCAATTTAGCATCTTTTATGAGAGGACATTATGAAACATTAATTTTTAGTTTCACTTCAGGGTTTCTGTCTCTACAGGGACACTCAGTGCAATACTGGGGTAAAAAAGATATCAGGCTGGATAATCTAGTATTTATTTTCTAGCAAGCCAGAATTATACAAAAACCTAATTTTCTGTTGCCTTGCCTGAAATACACTCATTTAGTTGGCTAAAAATAATATGAAATATTTGCATTTCTCTAAATGATGGTGCAGCCAGCACAGTAGCAGACACATTCTGAAAATTTGAGAGTAGGGTTTCATGTCCTTCTCTGCAAGTGAATGTCTTGTCATCTGAACTGAAAGAAGTGGTTTTGGTTTTTTTTCCCCTTTTAGTTTACAGTTTCAAACCTCAAGAACTGCAACACGCAGTACTGCTGATTTAACCCCAGCAAGCAACCATGTATCACACAGCCACTGACTCATTCCCCTACCAACCGGGTCTGGAGAGAGAATCAGAAGGGGAACAATTAGAAAACCCTTGAACTGAGGTAAAGATGGTTTAATAGGGAAAGCAAAAGTTGCTCACAAAAGCAAAGCAAAACAAGGAATTTATTCACTTCTTCCCACAGGCAGGCAGGTGTTCAGCCATGCCCAGGGGAGCAGGGCCCCATCACACGTAATGGTGACTTAGGAAAACAAACCCCACCACATCCCTCCCTTCTTTTTGCCCCCACTTTGTATACTGAACATGATATCACATGGTCTGAAGTATCCCTTTGGTCAGTTTGGGTCACCTGTTCTAGCTGTTTCTCCTCCCAGTCCCATGCACCCCCAACTTTGTCAGCATGGCAGGACAAAAACAGAAAAGGCTCTATGTAAGCTCTGCTCAGCAGTAAAAAAAAAATCTCTGTGTTATGCCCAAATCCAAATCGCAGCCCAGCTACTGTGAAGAAAATTAACTTTATCTCAGTCAAAACCAGCACAAATACAAACCAGTTACTGCTACTTGCTGGAATGAGATAAATGGAGTATTGAATGAAACGGTGCTGATCCTCACAAGCCCTGCTGTTCCATGTGAGATGCTGTTTTTGGAGTGAATAATGATAAGAGTCTCAGGGATGGTTTTGTTTATTACTGTGTTGCAGTAGCACCTGCAGTGTCAGTGTGAAAGGGACAGCTTTCACTGAGAAGCTGAGCAGAAGGAAAGAAGAGCTGCCATCTTGTGTGGGGAACTGAGACTGCACCAAACGAGGCTACAATTTTAAGACAATTAAAAATTCATTATACCTTTGGGAACTTATTAAGTAAAGATGGTTTCATTTTACTTCCATACTTTATATTAACTTTTAACTAATAAAAATAAATCACTTCAACCAGGAGGGCTGTTTTTCCGGCTTCAGCAGTACTGCAAATTCACTGGGAGGATGCCAAGGAAGCGGGAGAGCAGTGACCCATCCATTCTCTACCAGAGATCCTCAGCAGAGAATTCTTCTCAGCAGAGTCAGCTGGCCACAGAGCAGGACATCTTACAGCCAGGAACAGCAGCCCTGTAAGCAGAAAATATCTTTGTGACCTTTTGTATTCAAAACAGAGTAACCACAACCAAATTTATGATGTGTTACATGGTGTTGTTGAATCAGCTGGCAACAGGCATCTTTCTCCAAGCCTCTTGATATGTTTCTATAGGATCTGTGTTCAGGGCTTTTTTTTGTGTTGCTGGATGTGGATGCTTAGCACAATATATTTGTCAATACTACAAGCAGAACAGTGGTATTCCAGCTTCTGTTTTCCAAGTCTCTCCAAACTCCTAAACCAAGATTAAATATGGCACCTACAGCAGCAGATTATGAGTAGGCCTAGATGGACAATACTCTATGCAAAACCCTCACCTGCTCTTCCTCTGATTGCCCTGGGCAAGGGAAGTGGGATGTGCTGTTTCTGGAGACTATATGGGCAGCTGGCACTGTGTAACCACAAATTGTGATTCTGTGGCTGCATTCCCTGTCTGTCAGTGAGCAAATATAGAATGACACCTGTAGAAGCTATCCCAGATGTGCTGTTGAAAATTTCTGAGATCCATACAGATCTCAGATGAGAGATGATCATCATGATTACCATTGATGAGCAAGAGAAAGCATTGCCCTTTTGTTTGGCCTAGGATCTTCCTACTGCATCCTATGGAAATGGAGCTGGAGTCTTTTCCAGACACTAAGGCAGCAGCAGCAAGAATAAAAAACTCCTTACTTTTGAGAGTTACCAGCAGTAACCAAACTCAAGAACATGAGGACCTTGAGGTAAAACCGAGTGTATGCAAGACCTAGGTAGAAGAAAAGAGTTCCCCAGGAGTGTAGAGGTGAACAGTAATGGAGTGTCTTATTATGGTAAGTGGAGAGACAGAGAAAGGTAAGATTACCAAAACCACTGAATTCTTAACGAAGAAATCTGGATTAAAAATAAGGGAGAGCATACATCAACACCTGTATTTCTTTCCAAATGGAGGACTTGCTTTTCAAACAAAAATAGCACTTTAGTCAGGACCCAGAGCAGGTTTTCATGTTGGAAAGATTGATTTATTAGTGTGAGGCCTTCAAAAAGTCAACTTTAAAAAGAAGTAATTATGTTTGGTACTGAGACATCTTACCCTTCTAATCAGCTGAGGCACTGTTGTGAGAAAATTGGTATTTGGGAGTAGGCCCACAAGTTTTATCATGACCTCAGTAAAGCCCAGAATTGTGAGGTGACAACCCTGCAGCATCTAGCTAGGAGACAGACTGAAAGAATTTTTCCTCATCTACATCTGCATGTCACACACCCAAAGGATACTGAAAGGTTTAGATGTACTTTCAAGCTTGCTTTCCTCTAAATGACTTCACCAGTATTGGTTGTGTGCACTGCTATAAAGTCTCCATTAAGAACCAGATAGGGAAGGCCTCTTCTGATTTCTGCAACATCCTATTAGCAATAGAACTAACAGAAACAGGATATCCTTGAGAGCTGTGAGCTAGAGAAAAATAACAGATAAACCATAAAAACCTGATTCCTGTAGACAGGCTACCCAGGGAGATCCTGGGAGAGCAGGTCAACTTCTGTATGATGGCAACTGTATGGAAACTCTACATGAGCTGGTAGATGATGTATTTTGAGAAACCCCGTTGACAAGGGTTATTTCTGGGTTTATTGTTAAGGAGATTAAGAGATTGAATTTTTAATTCAATCACTGGTTAAATTCAAACTTAACAAGCTGGACTTCTAAGTCTACCTCTTGTACAATCTCAGTGTGTTTTTTAATTTGGAGTTTAAACACAAAAGCTACAGTGATCGTAGTCCTGATCTAACTGTGTCTGTGTCAAGTTGATACTGCATGCTAATGCAACTAAATAAACAGTATGATCCCTTATTCTTGGGCTTGTGGAAACAATTCAAACTGTCTGCTCTTAAAGTGGTATTAGGGAGGAAACCCAGACAAGAAAGTTATTTCATCACCAAACTTCATTGCTTCTTGTTAAAACTGACCATTTTTGGAGGCCTTACACCAAATAACTAAGGATGTGCTAGAATTTAATGTCAACTCAAAATCAGCCCTTTGAGTGTCCTTTCATAGATCACTAAGAAAGACTACAGAGGAGCCACTGGCACAGTTTGTCTGGCCTTGCTTTTATCAGTGACAGTTTGGATTTTTTGCCCATTTTTTCTAGTAACTGATAAGCAGAAGATCTTACCAGCTCTGACTTCCTACCCCTGCCTTTTCCTGTAATCCTCTTGAGATGCAGCACTGTTTCACTACACGCAGATAACTGTCTTCAGTAAACCCTACACATATTAATGGGAACAGTAGTCCTCATCTACTTCTTGTTATAAAACATGATCTACTGTGATTAGTTGTTAGAAGAGAACTCTGTTCATTGGGTAGAAAACAGTTCATTGGAAAAGGACTCAGGCTCTGTGCCTTGGAAAGGCTCTACACAAGCTTGGATAAAATCTATTTATTCTTTCTATTCAGTGCTTTCAAGCATTCACACTTCCTTTCAGACACAGCTGTTCCTGATGTCTCCTCTCATCCCATCCATACCTCATGAAATGGTATCGACACAGACTCTGGTGCAGGTAAAAGCCCTTTGCATTTATGTCCTGTTTAGATTATAACATCTGAGAACATTAGCCATTTTATGATTACCTAACAGTGTCTCACTACCTCTCATTTTACACTGTGAGACTGTGTCAATTTATATTTATAAAATATATATTTATATTTCTAAAATTCTTCCTAGTCATTTTATACATAGGCAGGTACCTGGAATTTTATCCTGTCCACACTCTAGTTCCTTATGTCCCTCTCTTGCCAGTGATCACCAGTCTATCTTGTATGCTGTTTTGGTCTCCTTCTGGTGCTACTTTCCAACTATGTGTCATCAGCAAGCCCTACAAACACTCTTTTTTTTATGACAAAATCTGTAATGAAACTTCTCCCCAAACCAAGCCTCATGGGGCTGTGCTGCAGCTCCTTTTTCTTCTCTCAAACGGAGTCTTCACCTTTCAACACTACCCACAGCTGTTTTCAGGCTTTCATAATCTATTTTTCATGGTTTATCTATTAATATCTCATGCAATAGACTATCACATTCACCTAAGTCCAGATAGATCAGATGGCCAAGAAAGTCAGCACAGACAGACAGGCTTGATTTGGCATAGCCTGTCACTAATGAACTGATATGAATTAACCCCTCTAATAGACACCTCTATTTATATATTCAGCTTTTCAAATGTTTTTGGACTAAGAGAGAACACAGTAAGACACAAATGTGAGGGGAGAGAAATGAGATCTGTATTTGTATGTACTGTTTTCTGCTTTTTTAAGCTTGCATAATAGACTTTAGCTCTTCTTTACTATCATTTGATAAATATATTAAGAAAACTTGCTAGAACGTGATTCCATGTTCTCATTCCCTTAGTGTTATATGACTAAAGCCCATGTCTCAGTTTCTTAATTTGAATATCAAGACTGTATTACCCTGAGTGTGGTCATTAAAGAAATATTTCAGGCTGGAACATTGACTGTGTCAAGAAATTTTCTTTACTGCCTCATCCTGATCTGTTTTTTGCAACCACAGAGGAGCTCTCAGCCCACAGACAAACATAAACCTGAGCTACATCTGTGCATTATCCTACTTGCCTGTGCTTAGGCTTATATGCATGAATCAAGGAACACTTCAGTTGCAATCCTAACCACATACCAGAAACATCCATGCTTTCAAATTTGAAGTATGTGTAATCAAGTTCCAGCTATTTAAATTCAGTTCTAGAAGCAGATGTAGCCAGGCTGTCTTAGTTAATAGGCCAGTAACTAATCAAGACCACTTCACTTAACTAATCAAGATAACTTCACATGTCTCAAAAAGATAAAGAAAATTGATTCACCTAAATGTATCTTTTTGTGAAGTTTCCTCTATGGATCAGAGAAGTTTAGATGGCTGGAACAATTTACAGTTATAAACTCTATCCTGACCTTTTACTTGTTTATCTGTGGCAAGTTTTCAATTATTTCAATGTGGTCTTGATTTCATATTACCTGCTACTTGGAGAAAAGATGATAGGATAAAAAAAAAGAAAAAAAAAAAAAAAGAAAAATTTGCTATGCTGCAGAAACCACTAAACAGAAATACATGTAAACAGAAAATCTTTCCAAAACATGACAGAATAAAAGTTACTATATAATAGTTAAAGTAGGAATTATTAAAATAAAGGTTGAGATGATGTAGAAGGATCAATAAATATCTATCCAGTTGCTAGGACAGTGACAATATATGGGGTGGTAATTTTTTGGCCAGTCTTTCAGAGTGGTGATAACATTGCAATTTCCATCCTTCCCTTGCAATTTTTCTTTTCCAAAACTAAGTTCTGAATGTGCTTTAGGAAACACTTGATTAATTTTTTTGCTGGGAAAAGTAGCAGGTACCTCAGTAGGACAATTTTATCACTTTTAAAAGTCACCCAAGTTCCTGATCATAGTGGAATGACAGCTGATGGAGTTCACTTCCCTAAGATTAATTTGTGTATCCATATCAAATAGAGACTTACTGAAGAGCTACCTTGTTGGGCAGAGAAATCTTTCATAATTAATCCAGTTTAATTATCTTCTTGAGATTCTGTGTTCTGCATAAGTAGATAAGTACAGTCACACAGTGCTGCACCTTGCACTATGTCAAATATTCCTTAGGCACTTTGATAAGAAATTTATTTAGAATAAGCCTTATATAAACAATCAAAAGAGAAACTTTGCCTTTGGTGAGTTTGATATTCTGCTTTCAAGTACACCTTTAAGATGGAATCTATGTAATCTTCAGTATGTACTAAGGCCACTTAATCATGCAGGCTTTATTTTCAAAGAACATGAACTTTTATGATATTCTTAACCATCTCAGTTGGTAGAGGTTCAGCAATTCCAAGTGCTCTTTCAATTTAGTTCCTGATATGCTCTCCTACAATGAGGAAAATTGCTGTGTTTCCTTACAGGGAAGAACAAGTATGCACTGAGTGTTCCAGGTTAGAGGTGATGTCAAATAACTAAGTTGCCATTGAGATAAAATGGAAAGATGAAACCTCTTTGCATTTCTATTTGTTTTATTTATGTCTTTATACACACAGTGTAGGCTGATGTTGCATGGAGATCCCTGGAAAGGTTTGCCGTACTTTCAGCATAACTATCAATCTTATCTTTGTGAGCTCATAATATTTCTGTGGCCTAAATCAGGATTATTCATTTCTACCCCAGATTGTATTATCTAAATCCTACCAAAACTGGGATTTGAATGTATGTCCTTGTTTGGCATCAAAACATTCTGTTCTTAGGCTACAGTGTTGGCCCTTTCAAAGAATAGTTTCAAAAATACAAATGCCATGAACCATGTTTCCCATGGAATCAAAATAACATGAAATCCTAATTTATTCTCTTCAGCGATTAAACAAATAATTTCTTCCTTATGTATTCAAACAGCCATCCATCAGCTCTTTCAAGTCTGAATCTATAGTATCCTTCTAAGCAGCTGCAGAAAAGTCTTTCATTAATTATCACACACAGTGTTATTATTGCATGTACACTGCTGGCTGCAAAAATAATTCTTTGTTTCTTTGTTGTAATTTATTGCTTATATCTTGGCATAAAATCTACTCACTCGAGCCTCTTGAGTCTAACCAGCACTGCCACCATGTACAGAGCTCAGTACACACACAGAATCACAGATTGATAAGCTGAGTTGGAAAAGTGCAACAAAGATCATTGAGTCCAGCTGCTGGGCCTGCACAGCACCATCTCCAAGACTCTCACCAGGTGCCCAAGAGACCAAACACTTTTTGAACTCTGTCAGGATTGGTGTTCTGATCACTTCCCTGGGGAGCCTGTTGCAGTGCCCAGCCACATGCTGGAGAAAGAACCTTTTACTAAAATGCAGCCTAAACCTCCCCTGACACAACTTCAGGCCATTCCCTTGGCTCCTGCTGCTGGTCACCAGAGAGAGATCAGTGTCTGCCTCTCCTTTTTACCTCAGGAGGAAGCTCCATGTTGCAATAAACTAATTCCTCAGTTTCCTCTTTCCAGGCTGAACAAACCAAGTGACCTCAGCCACTCCTGATAGAGCTGCTCCTCAAGGCCTTTCACCATCTTTGTTGCTCTCTTTTGTGTGCTCTCTAGTAGTTTAATGTCTTTCTTATGTTGTAGTATCCAAAGCTGCCCCCAGAACTTTCTGTGAGGCCACCCCAGAGCAGAGCAGAGCAGGACAATCCCCTCCCTTGCCCAGCTGGCCATGCTGGGCCTGATGCCCCCCAGAACACGCTTGGCCCTCCTGGCTGCCAGGGCACTGCTGGCTCGTGTTCAACTTTCCATCAACAAGAACCCCTGTCCCTTTCCATGGCACTCTCCAGTATCTCATTCCCCAGCCTGTACTTACATCCAGGGATGCTCCATCCCAGCTGCAGAATCCAAAACTGTCCCTTGCTGAAATTCCCTGGTTGGTTATTTCTCAGTCTTCTGATTTGTTGAGGTCTCTCTTCAGGGCCTCCATCTCTTTGAGGGAGTCAACAGCTCCTCCCAGTGTTGTATCATCTGCAAACTGGCTCAGTATCCCTTCCAGTCCTATGTCCAAGTCATTTATGAAGATGTTGAAAAGAACTGGGCTGTGAATGGAGTCCTGCAGAGTCCCACTAGTGGCAGATCTCCAGTCTAATGTCACCCCATTCACTGAAACCCTGTGAGCCAGTTGCTCACCCATTACATGATGTGTGTATCCAGCTGTAATCTGGAAATTTTTTCTGGAACGATCTTATGACAGATAGTACTGAAATTGAAAAGATTACATCAACTAGCTTCCCTTGATCAATAAGTGGCTATCTTGTCATAAAAGAAAATCAGGTTTGATAAGCAGGACTTTCCTCATGATGCTGTGCTGGTTGTGACCAATGACTGCATCACCTTCCAGGTGTTTTTCAATACCTCCTCCATAACTTTACCAGGCACTGAGGTGAGATCAACAGCCTTGTATTTTCTGGGATCCTCCTTCTTGCCCTTCCTTAAAATCAGGAGATTGTTCACCAGCTTTCAGTGTTCTGAGAACAATAATGGTGAAGATAGAAACCTCATAAGTGGAACATTTATCTGGTTTAACAGGGGCTGTAGCTGGCAGAAATGTTTCCTCCCAAACTTGAAGCTGGTGTACAAACAGCTCTGGGTTGATGGAGAACTGAGATCATAGAACTGTAGAATCACAGAATGGTTTGATTGGCATAACTGAAGATGGATTTTTTTTTGTTCTTCTAATTAATTGCGAAATGCTTTCAACATGCTCCGTGCAAAGCAACATAATGTTTCACTTCTCTTACAATTTGGACATTATTTGTCTGAGTTACAGACTCTTTCACTGCACTTTTTCTATCTCTTCTCCATGGCTGAGCCTTTTTTCACAGTATGGGCTTTGTGGGTACATTTCTGCCAGTTCAATAATATCTCTTTTCCTTCAGAAATCACCTGAATCTACAGAAGAGTGGGGTATGAACAGAATAAAGAGAACATAATTTCATTCTGCTTTAAGTTTAGAGCTCAGCTCTACATTACTGTCAGTAGACTTGACTGTAAAGCAGTGCAATGTGGTGCATTTTGTTCAGGTTTCCCTACCTATTTATGATCTTAATTTTTACTTATCTCCATTTCTGGCTGCACCTTGTTTGGCAAAAAGGCAATTCTAGGTTAATTAATATCTTTAATAATGGTAAGGAAATTTTGGAAATCATTGTTAATTAACATGGACTATATACAGACTACAAAAAAATGAAAAGTGTTTTGAAGGTAAGGTCCTCATGGGCACTCTAGAAGCTTTGATTCTTAAAAATTCAGATGAAATGATAGTTTCTGCTTAGGAAATTTCCTAGGGCTTGAGGCCATGGGGATTGTTTACATAAACTGGTAGAGCCAGTAGAATGGTAGAGAGTCCACGGCTCTCTACTCTTACACTAGGGTGGAGGCTATGGTATTTTTGTGTTTGAACTCTGTTCATCCAGAAAATCAACCAGATTACTCTTGCTAATGTTTTCCTGGAAGAGCATCTATTGGTTTAGCAGAATGATGAGTCACTTTAAAGAAAATGCATTTTACCCTTACCACAACATAAAATGACAAAGTGGGGGTTTTCAAAGTCTAGATTTATAAATGAGTACGTGAATGCCTTCCTGAATAAAGCTTTTCCCTTCACTGGGCTGGATGCCAGCTTATTACACAGTCACTTCTGAAGCTTACTCTGCATTTTTATAGCTAAAAGAAGACTTATTTCCAGGTCTTAGCTGAGACATATAAACTAGTTTAATAATACTCAGAAAACAAATGTTGCTACCACAGTAGCAGCACTAAATGCATTACTTTGATGTTTTTTCTGAAAACCTGCTCTCTGGTTGTATCTTTTCCTCCATTCCTGCTTGCACTTCACCCCATTAATTCATTACAGAATGAATGTAGCCTATACCTGTATTGAACTGCTGAGCAGACAGTTCTCAGCACACTGATGTATTGCTCTGGGGAAGCTAAAATCTATCACAGGGGGAGGTGAACTGATTTAAATTCCCATTCAATTTCTCAAGAATGCAAGAAAAAGAAAAACAAGGGGAGATAGAGTGGTAAAGGGACTAAGACTTTAAATAGTCTTCTTGACATTTTGAAATAATGACCATTGGCACTAATGCCTAAAAGCTTATAAACCACTGCCTTATGTGGATTAAAGAGGTAGGAAGGCCAGCTCCCTCTTAGGCAGAGTACTTTGTAGTGTTATCTTGGTTTTGTGGATTAAGATGGATTTCAATAGGCTTACATATCCTAACAAGTCTATGACCACCAGTGCCCCTTATGTCTCTCCCAGTGTACACTCTGACCACCTGAGAGGGAGAGGACACATATCTTTCTTCTTGTAAGGGAGATCCAGCACTTGCAACTAGAAATATCACTTTTATTTGGCTCTTACCTACTCATATAATTGACCATAATGTGGAATAGAAATAGGGAGTAGAGGCAATGCGAATCAAGGTTAGTCCAGAGTCCTTGGCAATGCAGAGGAGCAGATATGAACAGATTTGCTTCCTTCAGCATTTTTTCACCATTTGCTCTGGCTTTCAAGAAACACTTTTCTGTGCTGTGAGATGCACCTGCCTTTTGTGAATTTTGAAAAAGCTTCCAATAGCTTTGGAATACTACTGTTACAGAAAAATGATATATTTTCTTCAGATCAAGCTACTCTGGCAATTGGGGTGTACTTCCAGTGTCAGCCAGGGCATCTTCCCTCCTAGCAGGCTGCTGTGCAAACACTGTCAGGAACACAGTCAGCCCCCAGCTTAGCAAGGACACAGAGCTCCATTCACAACACTAAATTTCTCACCATGTGTAGGAGAGCTGTATAGACACAGGAACTGATCTGACAGGGGAGAGACAGACATCTTTAAAGTGAGAAAATAGCTAATCTGTGACAGAAGGTGATAAGTCTGTATGAAATTATTAACTCTTCTGAGGATTGAGTCATGAATTGTCAAAGTCAGTCTCTGAAGAGCCTGTAGAGGTGTTTGGCTGGGAAAGTGGCCTGCCTTCTCAAAAGGAAGGCAGTGGGTGCTCAGTGGGAGGCAGGCTGGTGGGGCTGTGCCCCCATGAGCAGGCTGCAAGCAGCTTTGATGGTGCTGAGGTTTGTATGATCGTGTGCTGTGAGCCCAGGTACAAAGCCCTGTGTTACTCCAAGATATCTGATACTGGGGGTGGTAAACCAAGGTAGGAAACATTGGAAAAAATGAGGTTCTGTAGTAGTCAGAGACTCTGGTTTAGGAAATCCTTTCCTCCTGCCTTCTTGTTCCCATCCTCAGTCACAACTCTCATTCCAGTCCCCAGTTCCCTTTCCCCTCATTTGTGCTGCTAAAATTGCTGTTGAACAAAATGTAAATCTGACCTCTATACCAGGATATCTCCTTTTTTTAACTTTTCTGGTCAGCTTTTCCACTTGCCAAGTGCACTTACAGCCTGTTTGCAGAAGTAAACTAAAGAAAATATCTGATTTATATTATTTTCATCCCCCCTTCACTCACAGCTGTTAGTTTGGTACCTGCCTGAATTTCCTGCTCCTTAACTTATGCCTGCTATAAAAGCCAATTCATTATCAATCTGGTCCATAAAATATTCAAACAAATGTTATATCCTGCTGGCATAATGGCAGTAGAATAGCAGGAATGACCACTAAGGAAAGTCTGGAGACTGGAATGATTTAATCACAACAGCTTGTGTGACTTTAGTCTGAGAAATAACATAGTCACACCTGAAATGCAATTTTTTTTTTGTAGGGGTGTGTAACAGAAGGTGATGCAAGAAATGATCTGGTCTAGCAGAGACAGCTCTTCACACTGTGAACAGAAGGAACCAGCAAAAAGGGAGTAACAGGATTTGTTTTTCTTAGATGTGATGAAAAAACAGATTGGTTTTCCTCTGTTCTACTTCAGATTTGTGACAAAGATTTTGCTCTGAGGTTTGAAACAGAATTCCTTAAGCCTTAATGAGTGAAGCTGTCAGGAATGGCCCTCAGATGTGGACAAAATTCTTGTATCCAGAGCTGAAAAAGAAGAAATTACCAGAAATGAGTAGATTTCCCTCTCAAGTAAAAGATGGAGAGTCCATCATTCACTTATTAATGAAATATAAAATATGGAATTTTTACCAAATCCATGGTGGATGTGGACTGTGTTTACAACACATGTTTATAGTTTCAGTTATGCTGTGGTTTAAGGTATGTTGTCCATATTGGGAAAGATTCAGTCAGTTTGAAAGAAAGTTCTTCACCAACTTGGATATGTAAGTAATCTTTCTTCTAGAATTTATTACATTTTTAGTATAATCCTTTAGAACAGGAAAGTTTGTGGTCAACCTCATGTTTAAAAGTCAGCAGTTAGGGTGTGAAAATCATGTTTCTGCAATGGTAGGTTTTTTGGTGGGTGGAAAAAGAAATGGGACTTCCTTTCATTTACCTGAAGAGCCTTTGATTTATGAAGCATATTATTTCATATTTCATGATGGACCTTTGACAATTCTTTTCATTGTGTTAACATGTGACTTTAAAAGGAGCACTTGACTTTAAACAATTTGGTGTGTTAAAAATAACTTTAACTTTTAATGAGGAAGTTTGGAAAATCAGGATTCTATTGCTTAAAGGTGAGCAGGAGCAAACACATTCAGTTCTGCTTCCTAAAAGGACTTTCTTAAAGACATAGTTATGAGAAGCCTAAAATAATACTCTCAAATAAAGAACATCTTCTTTCTCTTCTTTGAATTGACTTTGGTCAAAAACAGTGTAGAGAAGAGTTGCAGGTTTTAGACTTTGTGGTGTTTGGAAGAGTTGCTTATTTGCCATAGCCACTCTGATGTTTTGATTTTACATATGCCTTTTTCTAAACTTCATATCAATAAGCTATTTTGTGTCACTGATCACTGAAAATAATTTGAGTTTAGTTAGATTTTTTTTCCTGCAGGTTCAAAAGGTTTTCTTTTGATCCATAGTGCATCTTTGCAGTGCAGACAGGTAGACGATGGTTGGATGAATGAGGGACCTAGAAAGAAATTTTCTGTCAAAATCTTGTATTGAATTTTGTCTCCCATATGCTGGTAGTGGCACAACTGAAGCCATAGCATTAGAAGCAACCGGATACCCCATATCCTGTCTGAGAAAGTGCACCCTGATCATGCTACCCAAGAAGAATACCACAACCTTTAAGGGGAAGTATCTATATTTCTATATATTCAGTGATCATGTCACGGAACTTAGATATGAAAGCATAAATAAATAATCTGAGCATCACTGGAATTCTCAGCAAGCATCAGCACAACAAAACCCCCGATGGGTCTCATGACCCAAAAGAGCAGCTGGACTTATGCATCTTTTATTCTTGGTGGCTACTGCTTGGGACTTGGAATTGGGCTGGATGTCCTGTGGTGAAGCTTTCACAAGAGAGAAACAACTCTCTCTTTTCTCTTGACATTGGGTTAGTGGATGAGTTCAGCTGAGGAGGTTGGGCAGTCACCCAAATTGGAGCAGAGATATAAATATTAGCCAAGTATTCTCATGGGACATCCATAGAATTAAAAATTGGCTTCCTTGATTGGTCTCAGAGCTTGGCAGACCTATCTATTTTCTCAGGCATTAAATGAGCATGGTTTGGATTATCTCCTTAAATATTTTCTTTCTTTTTGGTAAAGTATAGAAATTGGGGAATGACTTAAAAATAAAGAAAGAAAATAAAATGGAAAGTTTACATCCTGAATCCATATTTATCGTAGAAGTAAGGGATAGGAAAGATTTCAAAAGGTCACCTACTTTGTTTTCCTATCCCCAGGCAGGATTAATGACACACGAAGTGGAGTTCCCACGCTGTGGTGCACTGCTGATACATGAATCCCTTAAAAGTGAATGTAGTAGTGCTGCATAGAATTACAACATTCTGGGGCAAATCTTCAGCGCACAGGAAATACTGTTTTCAGGAGATCATTTGGAATAGGTTTGCTGAGCCTTCAGCCAAGGGAGGGAGGCGTGACTGAGGCTGTTCAGCCTCGAAGGATAGCGAGGGCAGCTTAGTGCTGGATGCATCAGGATGAATATCCTGTTGTTCAGCTGGGCTTTCTGCCCTTGATAGCTTTCCTGATTTGCCTCTTTTAGCTAGAGCTGAAGCTACAGACCATGGGTTTCTCATCAATTCTGGCTAAATTTGTCTGTGTCCATTTTCTGGCACTGAATCCTGGAGTGGATTAGGATCACTATCATTATTGTACTCTGCCACACTCACATCTAAGTGGTCACTTGCAGGACAGCAGCCTATTGATGGCAACAGACTCCAAAAATATGCACAAGAGAGAGAAAAGGTTGTTTGGTAAGCTGAAACATATTCAGATACCATTTTAATAGCTTAATAGAAAAGGCAACTGAGTCCCAAGGCCTGGGTACATTCCTTGTTACAACTGAGTTTAATTCAACAGATTTGAACCACTCTATAGCTGCAGCCCCTCCCTGTTCCTTCTTGAAGAATTCCTTTATGCGTGATCTCTCTGCATAAAGTCATCTTTTCATCCTGGCCCTCCCTGCCTGTGGCTTTTTATGTGAGGTGTAGAACAACTTTCTCCAGGAGTTTTCCACAATCAGGTCCTAGCCTTTGTGTCTAGCTTGTCATGAGACTCAGAAGACCTGCGCTACGAAGAGATTCATACAAGCAGCTTTTGCAGATGGTGTGATTTAGTGCTGGTCACTTGAATGCTGATAACTTCCTGCTGTGACCTTCAATCTGTTCATAGTGCCTGCTTTGGAAACACCCCTAGTCCTAGAATCTGAATTTCCCTCAAGGTTGCTAGGGCAAGGACTACACAGGTGGAGTAAAAAAACATGTTTTTTGGGACACAGGGGTTGCCTTTGTTAGCCAAATGAAGACAGAGCAGGAGTTGAGAAAGACAGACTTTGTGGGATGGAGATGTGGAATGAGGTCTCTATCTGGTGAAAGGATGTAGGAGATGATAGGGTAATAACAAGTCATGTGGGTAGACAAGAATTCATATCACCCACTTAGGATGGCCAGGAAAGCAGTCTGTGCAGTACTGGAGATAACACACAGAGCTGCTAGACCATGAGAGTGCTGGGTGCTTGTTGATGCAAGAGTGAAACTTTGGCTTTTGTGGGTTTGCTGATAACACTGATATATATCAGTGTTATCAGTATGTTATCAGTATGCCATATGTTATCATGTGCCAACCATGCACGGGATGGCATTACGACAGATCCCTTATTAAAATAAAGAAGCTGACCAAAAAAGACCTTTTGAAAAGTTGTTGTGCTGTGCCTGAAAACTTCTTCTCAGGAAAATAAGGTATCTTATGGACATTCAAGTTTTTTTTTGTATCTTCTTTGTATCATAACACTGTAATTAATGGATGCTGAAATGTAAACATTGAAATGTAACCTACAGTGGAGCTGGATAAACCTTGAATATGGTTTGTAACAATGGGTGGAATCTTAAAGACTTGTTTGTTTCATCAATTTGCAACCTGTTGTCTTCAATAAACAGTTGAATGAGGCAGATGGGGGACAAGAGACACTCCTAAGACCTTTGGCCTGACAGGCAAATATTTCCCTTGGAAATAAAACCAGAAATCTGATAGCTTTCATCCCTGTGAAGAGATCATCCTCAGGGAATCAATTTATAAAGGCATAATATAACATCCTAGTACCTTAGTACCTTAGACTTACTTTAAGTCTGAAGATGTAGATTTATGAGCTTAGCTTTTGATGGTGACTACTTTAGTGGGTATTTTGTGAGGAAACACAAGGTAGTTTTGACCATGACTATTGTCATGTCTTCTCTCCCATAGTGCAGTGCTGGGTTTCCACACCTGTTGCAGGGGTAGAAAGAGCTATGCCAAGAGATGATGCCTGTTAGATACTTTTCCTGTGAGACACAAAACTAACAGAAACAGAGCTGATTTTGACTAGCACTTGAATGACCCTGAAATTGTATCCTTCTGTTACAAGGAGTTTTTTCATTGGCCCTTTCTATAGCTGCATATCATGATTTGCCAGAGCATTTTGGCGACCTGGTCTCCCATTTAGTTTAGCATGGTGGTGTTCAGAAGACAAGTTATCCTCCAAGAACTGCAATATGTCTGCTATTAGAGAACACTGTAATTAATGGATGCTGAAATGTAAACATTGAAATGTAATATATAATAATTCCCTTTTCTGAATTTCTGAACCACAGCAGATTGGGTCAGGTTTTATGATGTCCTCAAGGTACCAAAGCATTTGCGGGCATATAAAGATAAGTCCTTTCCTAAATCTCGTGTCAGCTGATTTAGAGGAAGAAATCTGCATTGAAAATATTATAATTTTTGAGTGCAAAGGCAAAAAAATCTACAAGCTTGTGCATGGTCCTTCTGAAAGTGTCACCAATTGCCAGGGATTCAGGTGCTCAGAAATGGCATCGCACTTCTCATATTGGGGCACTTCCTGCTTTGCTTCTCTTGTGTCACTACATGGCCTGCAGAGAGCTGTCACTTTCTAGATTCTCAGGAAAATTAATAATGAATATGGTGTCATTTAACATTGAGATATTTACCCCTGCAAGTTAGAAATTTTTCAGTACCTTCAGAAGAGTTGTGTGCTGCCTGAAAACCGTGAGAGGGAGGAATAACTTTATTATATATGTGTCTGGAATGTGAGCATATGGTACAGATAAATATTTTTAACATAGAAAGTATTGTTATATTAAAATATGACCCACACTTTAATGATGGTTTTGTAATCTGTCTAGCCTAGGTTACTGTTAGGGAAGAATGCATTTAAATGTATGGATAAAATTTCATTGCTGAAACAACTTTCTGAAGTTGGTCTGGGACTGTGAATTACATTTTTTGAGTAGCTAAGAATATCAACACACACTGAACCTACCTTTTGCTCCAGATGGAAGGAAAATGTTTTTAATGTTTTTCACATAGATTGGTTGTATTTCAACAAGAAATGTTAGGAAAGAAAATTGAAAATTAGTTATTACAGAAAGGAAAGTGAATAATTAAAAGAAGAAAGTTAATAAACAACTAAATTATAGCTGGAAACCTCTGTGATGAGCTTCATATCAGATAACACTACCACTTTGCCTTTTTAAAAAAGTGCTAAGAGCTTAGGGAAAAGTGCAAAATACACCACCTTAACCCAGTTGATTTGAGTCTTTAACTACCAATTGAAAATTAATTTATATTTTTCTTTCAGTTCTAGGATAGACTTGAATGAGAATACCTTATTATTTGTGTTTCAAAAGATCTCTGATGCAGAGGTCTGAATAGACCACAAGAGTCTACCAAGGGCTTCTCCTCAATGCTTCCCCTCCCTTCTTCCACTAGGTATCCCTTTGGTCACTCTTCATCATAGTTCAGTCATAGCAGAGATGGGAGAAAGGGAAATGACCTTGGCATTAGCCAGTGATTTAAAGAAATATTGCCACAGGAAGTAGATTCCTGTATTTCACAAATGGCTCCCAGCCTAAACCTCAGATCCTTCAATCCTTCAGCTTCATATGAGAAACTCTTTCTCCTGTGTGGAGCCACTTGAATGCATTGGCACATGCAAAGAAAAAGAAATCAATGGTCTGGAAAAGATTTTCTCTGCTGAAAAATGTGTCATAAGATGCTGCCAATAGCTCAGCTGCATAAGCATGAGGAGCACAGCCCTAAATATCTGCTGAAAGCACACAGACTTTTGTTGTGCTGGTTGCTTGGCACTTGTGCAGCTGAGCTCCTGCAGAAGTCTGGGTATGAGATGTCAGAGGAGAGAATAGGACTGATCTCCTTGGTGCTATGAATGAAACTTTTGCCTTCTGATTAAAAGTCTTTGGGTTTCTATCAAGTTTGGATTATTCTGTCCCCTAAAATCCCAACAAGTTTAGTGAAAATTTCACTACGAGGCAACTTTCACTTCTATAAACACAGTCTTGAGTGTCAAGTGTGAATTTGAGTTGAACAGGCAAACCCTGAGGCACAGATCAAAAATATGATTTTTGTGGATGTTTCTTCATTTACTCCCATGCTTTTTGGGACCGAGGCTCATTATATACTCAACTACTAGGAAGATATGGCTGAGAATTTTGAAACAAGAAATTGCTTTGTCCCCTATCCCAACAAAGGAAGCTCTGGTGGTGACTGAAGTAAAATGTGACCAGACAGTTTGGGGATTGGAGAATATGTAAACTAAACATCATGGTTAAACTTCATAATGACAGCTGTACACTTCTTCCAGCAGTTATGTGGCAGGTGAGCCAGGTATCCTGGTAGATAGGTGATTTCTGCCACACAGCATATATGAAAGCCACAGGACTTTTCCAAGTGGAAATCCTTCAAGCTCATCTGTAACTCTGTCACAAAATATTTTTATGCAAATGTTGAGTATTATATACATTTCAAATGCATCTTCTTATAGGCTAATTAAGCCTACTCTATTTCTTAATATCCCTGGCTTCACTAGGAAATGGATGCCTGTATTTCCTTGAAGATCTGATTTTTGCTGCCCTAATGACATCTCCATAGACCCAGAAGAAAGATATTAATTTTATGTGTGAGAAATTGAATTTGCAGCTAGATTTATCCATCTTCTTTTCATGTCAGGCAGACCTTCCTTTTTTCTCACTAGTTTGATTTTTGGAAGCTAATGAAAACAAGATAATTGTGAAAATCTATTGCTTACCTCACAGCTATGATATCAGTGTGATGTGTAACAAATTGCTTTGGGGGTGAGAGAATTTAATTCTCTACTTTTTTGGTTTTGTTTTTGCTCTGCCAAAATCTTCAGAAATAAGAGTTATAGTGTAACACCATATCATTTAGTGCTCTGAGATCAAACAGTTGCTTTCCTGCTGTGAAATTTCCATTGTGACGGCAATAAACTGTTTCTTGTAATTGCATATATGTCTTGTGGAATCATGGATTTATTGCTTTAATTTTTGGAGTGAGAGTATAGCTTTTCAAGAATGATTAGTTAAAACAAAAAAGGAAGATAACCTAGGTGGGCTTGAGATGTCCTTGACTTGCCTGGAAAAGATTCTCTGTTAAATTTCTGTGTCAAGAATCAGCCTGTAGATGTCCCCCAACACACATTGTGCTACATCCAGTGTTCAGTTCTGTTAAAAGCAGCTATCACATTTATAAATTACCAACAACCCAAGTTAAAGAGAGCCAGAGAGATGAAAAGCTGCTCAGGAATGAGCACCACAACTATCCTGTGGGAGGACAGTTGAAGTAATGGCAGACTGAAGAACATCTCAGACCAAGAGAAACACAAGTTTAAAAAGAGCTGATAAAAAGAAATAGAAAGGAGTCTTATAGAAGACTGAAGACATCAGAAAAATGGAGCCAATAATGACACACTTCACTGTGACTCTAGATATGGAAATGATAAATTTTCCTCTGGCTTAGTGAGCCAGAACTGACCTTAGCACTGTAAATATGTGGTGAAATGAATGCTTTAGGTCCACAGAGTGACAGATTTATCTTTGACAAAATCATCAGGTTAGGGGGAGAAAATACAGCTCAGTCCAAAATCATCCTGATGAAATGAGGAATTTTGGTGACCTTTACCTATGTTTAGCTAATGTAATTAACTGTTGAATAGTGCCTGCATCAGTGGGACCTGGCCCTGCCTCTGTAACCTACAGTGGAGCTGGATAAACCCTGAATATGGTTTGTAACAATGGGTGGAATCTTAAAGACTTGTTTGTTTCATCAATTTGAACCTGTTGTCTTCAATAAACAGTTGATTTCTTATCACAGAAGACTTTGATAAATGGTTTCTGTTTGTATCAATATCCACATTCACATGCAACCAAGCACATTTGTCAAAGAGTATCCATTTCTCACAATTTATAATATGATCCCTTGTCATTCTGGTGGCTAATTTTCTGTTCTCAAAAGTATACAGGGAGGACCTGAAAGAATACGGAGTAACTTTTCCCTAAGCACAAATAACAAAGAGTCAAAGACACTGAGTGACTTTTAGCTGGGAAATTTCATAGCACGTCAATTCTACCCTCCTGCTGCTCTAACTCAGATCACAGCACAGTAAGTAATGGAAAGTCAGCAGCATTCAGCTTGCATGTGAACTTTCAGGTCTACCTGTGTCCCCAGTTACTGTTCTGTAACCAGGCCTTAAAGCCTCCAGCAGTTGGGTCTTCTGAGCCCCCTTCCAGGCAAGTTACCCTCATACTTGATTATTTCACTTTTTGAGTAACTTCCTCATTCTTCTTTCCTTCGTCTTCTTTTCCACTTTTTAGTGGGCATAGCTAATAGCAACGTCTCCAATTAAATAATTATGTCTATTGTATCAACAATCTCCATACTGGAAGACTACTATGTTCCACCCTCTCTCTTTCTTCCTCCTCTTCCTTAACATGCACAATCCTGTTTCTTTCATCCCTTCCTCAGTGAAGACCTTCTCAAGATGTCATTTACCACTTCCCTCCACAGTATTTCCTGGTGTTACACATTTTTCAGTAAAGAACAATGTAATATTTTCTTGTGATTAGCTTGCTATTCACCAAAACTCACATAATTGTTTGAGTAGAGCTGTTAGATAGTATCTTGGCTTGTTTTCCCCATTATTTTTGCCTATATATTTCCATTCATCTTTAAGTACTTTGTTTACATACAATCTCTGAGATTGTTGAATCAATGACATTTTTCTGTGTAATGGTGGAAAAAATCCTTACAGATAAAGAAAATAAGTAAACATGTCTACAAAGACTTGACTGGATGATGGTCTTTTCTAATCTTAATGTTTTAAGCTTCTAATATTCTTTATTCATTAGGATTTTGAACAATGTTGGGGGGGATCTTAGTTGACAGTTACTCATCTGCTACTAATCAGAATGACTTTTCCCAAAGTCATACCACAAGCATTTTGATGTAACTAATGCAGTACAGAAATCAAGATTGCATTCTGAACAACACGGAAAAAAGAAGTCCTGGAATAACTAAAATATTCACTCAAGAAACATTTAAAATGTGATACAGTAAATTATTTCTAAAAATCAATTTCTCATGGATAAACAGTTTTTTTCTTCTACACTGCCTAATGTATAAAAGACATGTTTTAAAAAATTATTTCTAATAGTTTTTAAAGGAATTTACCAGGAAAAAAAATTGCCTGAAAGAAGTGTGTATCAGACCATATATCTGTAACACAGTTCTGCAGTAAGCAGTTTTTCATTCCACATATGATCTAAGGTGAATAAATTTCTTCCAGTATATTGCTTCTGGCCAGTGAGAGGATGTGTTATTTAGCTCTTTCACTTTTAGAGTGAGCCCCAGTCTAAAGGAATGTGAAAAATTGCATCTGAGCTTCGAAGAAACAAGTTGCACACAGGGGACTTGCTGTGAAGGAGCTGTTGAAATGTAAGGTGCTAAGACTTTTATAACAAGGAAACCACATATGCTGAGCCTTTAGTATGATTGATTGTGCTTTTAGTTTTGGGGGTTTTTTTTGTGGTTTTACTTTTCCCTTTTTTTCTTTTTTTTTTTTTGCCTTTGCAGTGGTGATGTGTTTTGCTTTGTTTTCTGACACAAACATGCAGACAAATTGCAGGGGCAGGAAAGAGACTTGAACTGCTGACTGCTTCAGTGAGACTGAGGGTGCAAGGAACATCTCATATTTTATCAAACTCCAGCAGTCAACTAGAGAGGTTGAGGAGACCAAGTATGAGCCAGGTCTGGGTAAGCACTACCATTAGTCAGTGAAAATTATGGGTCAAGTGCTAAACAGTAATTTTTCTGAGACCTACCCCATCAAATAATTTTCTCAGGGTCCGAGCAGGTGTATGAAAGTTGTGTTTGGTTAAGATTGATTATACACGTGTTAATCAAAGACACCGAAAAGCTTCTCATCACATTGATGTACCTTAGCAAACCAGATTACTCAGTCAAGTCAGACAAGCTGTGATAATTCCCTGAATTTCAGGTTTTCACTGCATCTTTGTGTTTTCCTGGTGCTCTTTTGCCACATACTCATATAAAAGTTATTCCCAGTGCCATAGTCAAAGATACATTAATAAACAAAATGATTCCACTTCTTTTATTGACACTGTAGAGTTTACATATTTCACTATCCTAAGATGGTGGACAAAAAGAAGTAAATTTATCCCTTTTTAAATTTTAAACTACTTTAATATATATATTTCTAATTATATCTGCCAGTTATTCCTTGCTTCCACTTGTTTCTGACTTGTGCAGGGTGAGGAGAAGTTGACCTTAGTATTAAAGATTTTCTTTCCACAGTTGTGTCAGGGCATGAAAGAAGCCAATTTCTTTCTCTGACCCCAGTCATTCACAAAAATAACAGATGTCTCAATATGCTGAGATCAGACACTAAGGGGAGCTGAGGGGGACACGTTGCATCAACAGAGCTTTCCTTCTTCTGAATTGTTTTGGAGTAAAGGTTTTCTGGACTTTTTTCTTCCTAATTTAATCAAATTATATTGAACTAGATCTCCTGATATCAAGTCTCATTCTTTGCATTTATTTAAGGACAAATCCAGAAAAACACAGATTTACCTTTAAATGTATATATATTTTTTCATAGGAAATTTCTCTGAGGAAACATCATGTACTTTATTCAAAAAAATGAGCCTCTCTGTAAAATAAAGTGGGGTCACATTATCTACTATAGATGTATGCATTTAAATGATATATTTTTTAAAATGCACAATCATTTTAGAATAAAAGTATGGTCTTAATTTTGATAGAGTAAATGGACCCCAGGACCACAAAGGTGTTAACCTGATCAAGTCATTGTAAAGCAGTCACAAATATATCAGATATTTGAGCTTAGAGACCCTGCATCCCCATGGCTAATTCCCATGATAAATAAACCGGAATATTCATGCTAAACATACACACATAGAAGATTTAGATTTTGTATGTAGATTTCCTCTATACTGGAGGAAAGAACACAACAAACCAAAAAAAATTCATGTGAGGTTCTGAAGCTGAAAGTTTAGGAAATAGCCTGATTGTGTAAAGTTAATTCATTTGGGAGTTTCCTGAGCCTTTTTTTTAATCAGAGATATTGGCCTCTTAGTCTGGATTAGTCTTAATTATTAATAGAGAAAAGTAAACTGTTTCTGCTGAAGATTTCTACAAATCACTCTGAAGCAGAGGGTTGATTTGAGTCTTTTGCTCTCTTTGATATAAATTAGAGAGAAGGGGAGGGAGGAGAGGTTTGGTAGGATTAGGTGAGGTAGTCGGGGTTTCCTCCCAGTGCTGGGAGCCAAAGCAGCTGTTTATTTGTGGTGGATGGTCGGAGCCACTGGGTCACCCTCAGCTGTTAGATTGGCAAATATGTCTCAGTCTCACAGCTGCAACCTGCCACGTCCAGCTGGACTCCCACTGCCTCTGCTGAACTGAGCTGCTGGGGCTGCTCTATGGAGTGCAGAGTCATGGAAGCAAAGAAAGAATGAGGGAGAGAAAAAGGCTGGGATGGGAGGGGTGGTAGCATGTGGTATACATTGCTGTAAAGAGGATTGGAAGGAAGATAGTGCCAATGCAGAGGTATGTTGTTGGAGAGAAGAGGTTGGTGTATGATCCCCAGTCTCTCCTGAGGTGGATGATTTTGAGGTGCTGTGGTCCTGCACCTGGTCATGTGTTGATCAAGGATATTGTCTGCCATTTCTTGGATACAGCAGCTGTGCACACTCTGCAGAACTCAGAACACTAATGTTCAGAGTGTAGAATGAAAAATTTTCATCAACTCATAAATTCAAAAGCAGGACCAAGGACTTCATTCAGAAAAGTATAGTTCATCTTGAATGGGTTTTGCTCTTAAAGTCTGCTTTAAGTTATGAGTTGAATAAATATTTTTGAAATCATAGTTGAGAATAGTATTAATTAATTGAGAAGTATTAATTAACATCGGAAAGTTTGTTACCTGTATGCTCATCTGGTCTAGCAGATTCAGATGCACAAAAGCTCAATTACACCCAAAGAACACATTGAATCCTTGCTGGGAGGGAGGATGTGGCTCAGGTTTCACTTCCCAGTTCTGATTTTTTTATTACCAGGATCTGTTTCATTCTCACTCAGCTCCAAGAGAAGATCTGTGTGCTTGTCTTCATCCCTTGTACGGTGGTTTCCTTTCAAAAACAGCCTGGGGTTGTGGACAGGGAGGAATCTATGGTATGCTCTGATATCTCCCCAGACAGAGTATTGTGAGGACCAGGGGTGTGGGTGCAACCATCCTGCATCCTTGCAACAGCCAGGGTCTCTGCATGGAGGGCAGCACTGATATCACTGGGAAGAATAGATCTTGGCAGCATCTTCAGGGACATCAGAAGTCAGGCTTCTATTGTGCTATAAAAAACATCTACAAAAAAGAGACAAAAGTCAACAACTTGTGATTGTACAAGACCCCTGTTATCTCTACTTTTTACAATGGTGATCTAGGAGAAAGTTATAATAATTCATTTAAATGGTATTGTTCATTATAATAAAATTATATAACTTTGCTGTCTGCTTTCTATAAACATTACACTAAAGATCCTGAGGGGAAGCTGAAATGTAAACAGTACTTTTTTACATAAACACTCACTTAGAGTCTTGCTCTTTTTTCCTAAAGACTCCACACCAGCACTTGATTGCAAACTTAAATTAAACTGTTTGGAGAGTGGGTTTAACATTTTTCAGTACAGATAAACAACATACTTCAAAGTAAACACTGTTACGTGACAAGTGCAACCTTAGAAATATAACATTTTAATCATTACTGACTTCATTGCTTGTTTTA